TTTTTCTCGACTCAAGAAGATGTTCACCTCTGCTCCCATACTTACTCTGCCGGATCCCACTCGCCAGTTTGTGGTGGAAGTGGATGCCTCCAACGAGGGGGTGGGAGCGGTACTCTCCCAGCGCCAACAGAAGGACAATAAGCTTCACCCCTGCGCTTTCCTGTCCAGGAAGCTCTCCCCGGCAGAGAGGAATTACGATGTGGGAAACCGTGAGTTGCTGGCTGTGAAGCTAGCGTTGGAAGAGTGGAGGCATTGGTTGGAGGGAGCCGAGCATCTTTTTGTGGTCTGGACTGATCACAAAAATCTGGAATATATAAAGAAGGCCAAAAGACTGAACTCCCGCCAGGCCAGGTGGACTTTGTTTTTTAACCGGTTTGACTTTGTTCTCTCTTACAGGCCGGGGTCTCAGAATGTCAAGCCTGACGCTCTGTCCCGTCTGTTTGACCCTGTGCCTTCAGTCAAGGAGCCAGAACCCATCATTCCGTTAAACCGTGTGGTAGGAGCACTGACTTGGCAAGTGGAGAAGGAGGTGATACGAGCCAACGGGGGAGCTCCTGCACCCAGGGGTTGCCCGCCTAACCGGCTATTCGTTCAGGAAGCCGAGCGACCACAGGTGATCCACTGGGCTCACACGTCGCTACTCACCTGTCACCCCGGAGTCAAGAGAACCATGTTCATTGTTAAACAACGTTTCTGGTGGACATCCATGGAGAAGGAGGTGAAGGAGTATGTGGAGGCGTGCCCTGTCTGCGCTCGCAATAAGACCTCTTCCAGGGCGCGGATGGGATTGTTACAACCACTTCCTATTCCCAACAGACCCTGGTCAGAGATTTCTATGGACTTCGTCACAGGCCTGCCCCTCTCTAGAGGTAACACCACAGTTCTCACGGTAGTGGACCGTTTTTCCAAAATGACACATTTCATTGCTCTGCCCAAATTGCCCTCAGCTAAGGAAATGGCTGAGGTCATGATGCATAATGTTTTTCGTCTGCATGGTTTCCCTAAGGATATTGTCTCCGATCGGGGGCCCCAGTTTGTGTCTCGTTTCTGGAAGGAGTTCTGCAGACTCATCGGTGCCACGGTCAGTCTCTCGTCTGGATACCACCCGGAGTCAAACGGCCAGACAGAGCGCCTGAATCAGGAACTGGAGACTTGCTTGCGCTGCCTGGTGTCCCAGAATCCATCCTCCTGGAGCGAGCACCTCACCTGGGTGGAGTATGCGCACAACATCCTTCCCACGTCTGCCACGGGATTGTCCCCGTTTCATTGTGTTTATGGGTACCAGCCGCCACTGTTCTCAGCCACGGAGAAAGAGGTCACGGTTCCGTCTGCCCACGCTATGGTCAGGCATTGTCATCGCGTGTGGGCTGCGGCAAGAAAAATCCTCTGCAGAAATTCAAAGCTGGTAAAACGAGCAGCAGACCGAAGACGCCGACCAGCTCCTGTATACCAGCCAGGCCAAAAAGTCTGGCTTTCTACGCGGGACCTTCCCCTCCACTTACTCTCCCGCAAGTTGGCTCCCCGGTTTGTGGGTCCTTTTCCCATCACCAAGGTCATCAACCCGGTTTCAGTGAGACTACGGCTTCCCAGGTCCATGAAGGTACATCCCACCTTCCATGTGGGGAAATTGAAACCCCTGAAGGAGAGCGCCATGGTTCCCACCGCCAAACCACCCCCGCCTCCCAGGATGATCGATGGAGGTCCAGTCTATACAGTCAAGACACTCTTGGCTGCAAGGAAACGGGGTAGAGGGCGACAGCTCCTTGTTGACTGGAAGGGTTACGGCCCTGAGGAGCGGTCATGGATTCCTTCCCGTTTCATCATCGATAAGAGCCTCATTGAGGATTTTGACCGCCTCAACTCGGAGGAGCCTGGGCCGTCAGGAGCCGTCCCTAGAAGGGGGGGTACTGTCATGTCTAAGAAACTTATTGTGAAAGTTTATTCTTTATGTTAGTTTTTGTCATGTCTTTCTGTCCTGTGCTTTATGTTATGTTGAATAGTAATTCTCCCTCTCATTTCAGACCTCCACGCTCCCCGCCCCTATCTGTCTCCTGCGTCTGTGATTGTTTTCCCCGCCCTGATTGTTTCCACCTGTTCCCATTTACCCTGTGTATATATTCTGATAGTTGCCTCCTGTCCATTGTCGGTTCGTTTCCTCATTCAGGACTTTGAGCAAGCGTACTCCACAGACGTGTTACGTATCTCTAAGCTTCAAAGTTATTGTCATTGTTTTTCCTCGAAAGAGAGTTATTGTTTTCCCTGTTTTGTTACTGTGTATATTCCAGTAAAGTCTTTATTTTGAACCTCTCCTGAGTCTGAGTTTGAGTCGTGCATTTGAGTTCATGCCTCAGAGTTCACTCCTTGACAACTCTAGCTACTGTGCATATGACAATAAAGCCTTAAGTCTTGAATCACTGACACCAACACCAAGCCAACCATGGTTTGAATTGAGATAAGGGGCTGTTTTTTTTATGAAATTGAATTAATTGATTTAACCATAAGATTCAAGAAAGAATACATGTATTTATTAGAGCCCTGACAACAGAACAACCCTGTATTAGCTTCATGTTTTAAACAAATCAGAGACTCAGGATTTGAAATTTTCAGGAAAACATTCACAAACAATTCTTTAACTTTTCTTTAATAAGTCATTCAAATTCAAAAGTATGTTTATGACAACACATTTTAGTTTGAATACATTTTTTTTTTTTATCTAAAACTGCACCCCAGACATTTTGTTGTCAAACCCTTTTATTTGTTCAGGGTTGTTCAACCACGACTTAATTTAAAATAAGTTGCAAACTTTGTATTTTTTCCTCAGACTGAAGACCTTTCACAATGACAAACGTGTAATGTTTACTGCAGCACGACGTGGATGCTTTGCTGTGACATTATCGGCGGTGTTCAGTCCATGAAGGTAACGAGTTTGCCCGAGTGATTTTAGTAATAGATACGTGGTGAAGGATCATGATAATTCTGATACATTTTACAAAGAAAGCAATGTCCATTCTGAAGCAAACTCTTCAGGAAAAGAATGAACATAACAATTGAATCAAAAATATTTATTTACACAGGACATTCTCAACCTCACCATTATAAAACTAATAATTCAAAACACATAGACGTGTATGCTTATATATATTTCTTTCCAAATGAGAGCATTGAAGCATAACAATCTGTGAGACCATTCAGTGTGTGTATGTGCATATAACAACGTGCTAGAACGCTTATTATGTGTATACTACTCAAATAAACAACTAGGTAAGTGCTCTTAGTACGACTCGTAACTGTTACACATCCATCCCCCAAAAATATATATTTTAATCATCCCAAAATGAAAATAAACTGTCACAATGAAACAAATCAACCAAAAAAAAGTCAGTAGTCAGTGGCGACATCATTCAGTCAAGAAAAACGTTATTCAAATGTTGTAAATCACAGCAACCCTTGTAATTTCTAAGCATAAAGTCATAAATGAGCACAAAGACTATGAGGCTGATTGGTCGGTAGTATGCAACATTAGTAGAAAACCACAGGCATGCACTCACGCAATCAATGCGCTCATAATGATCCACAGGTGGACATAAAAAACAATATATAATATTTGTAAAACCAAGGTCTAAAATTGGTTCCTGTTGTTGCTGTTGTAAATATTTGTTTGTTTTTGTTTGTGAAGTTGTAAAAAGGACGGAACTTGGTGGAGTTGCATGTTCGTCCTGGTCTGAATCACAAGGCTAAAACACAATATACACTTCGCTTTGTTTAACATTTTTAGACATGGGTCGGCACTTCTGAGTGCCATCGTAGTTCATGTAAAACAAGTCTGTTATTGATTTTATTCTTCTTATGCTTCGCCGGCTCTCGGGTATAACTTCAATTTAAATTACGAGAGCCACCAATTTGGCGTTTGCCAGCTAGCTAACATTCGCTAGCTAGCTTGATGGGTAGCCAAGGTAAGCTAGCTAACTAGATAGATATAGTGTACGTTGGCTAGCTTTATTTACAGATATATATATATATAGATAGATAGATAGATAGATCGATAGAGAGTCGGACGGACGGATGGATAGAGAGATAGATTATGTTCACAAGCTAAATAGAAAACGTTCCCTGCTGATATGTTTCGGTACTTTTCATAGTTCCTCATAGCAGGTGCCGTCTATAACACAAGACTCTAAACAGATTTTGGGCCGTTGTCATGCATCATCCGCCAGTCACTAACAGAGGATGGATGTCGAACTGAAAAACCATGCAATCATCGCAGAGTAGCTGTAAATGATCTCTAATCAAATCTATTGTTTTAATGCTGCTAGTGCTAAACCAGAAGAACTAAGACATAAGCATTTGAACCAGATAAAGTCAATAAGTAGTGTGCCCATGTTGAAATCAATCCTTGAAGGGAGACCACATGAGACAATGTGGATAGAGTTTTCCTCATTGGCATCGAGGATAGGGTTCTCAAAGATTGTGCTACGGTTCTCTCCCATCCTTCACTCCAGCACTTAAGAAACCCAGCTTGCCAGAACCCAACTACTACCAACCAATCACACTCCAATAGCCATAAAATGCCTAGAAAAGGCCCAAACTTGTTGTTAGTAAGCAAGATAAAGATTCCTTCTGCTGGTTTTACACTGCTTCACACAACTGGTAGAAGGATCATTTAAGTCACGTATGCCAATTAAAGGCATGAGGAAGAATGTCAGCACCCAACTACAAAATAGATAGATAGATAGATAGATAGTACTTTATTGATCCCAAATTGGGAAATTGTTGTTGTTACAGCAGCATAAAAGGCATGTTACAATAAAACAAAAGTACAAAATATACAAGAATAGAAAGAAAAATAAAATAAAATGTCGAAATAGAAAATATACATGCAGATATTATATATATATATACAAATATATATATATATATATATATTCAAAATATATGGAATATGGAGTATAAATATTGAACAGATTATAGAGTAAAATGTACAACGTGGTTTTATTCCAAGAGAAACTATGGAGCAGAGAGTTCTCTTCCAGCCAGAGGTGATTTATTGTACAGAGTTATTGCAGTGGGCAGGAAAAAAATCTTATGAGGTTAGTAAATGGACACGTTTAATAGGCATCAAAATACAAACTATGTATTTTGCTATGAAAGAGTGAATGTAAACTCCACATGATGACTTAAGAGACTCAAATGTTGTCTTCTTTAACAGACATGCATCATCGATACATACTATCAGGGCCGGTACTGAAGTGTGCCAGTCGGACAATGTGGGCCGGTCGGATAAGTCACTAGCACCCCCGTCCCCCGTCCGTCCCCCTGTCGACAATTTACTAACGGTATTTACTTGCGGTACCGAGGTGGGCCGGCGGTACCGAAGTGGGCCGGTCGAGAGTCCCGGGCTGATTTGTAGTCCCAGTCCGCCCCTGCATACTATATTGACTCATAACATGTCAGGGAAAGGGGCGGACAACGACTTCATTTCTGTCTCATTCAGGGAACGTTCTTCTTTTGTTTTGGGACCAACAGGATCACTAACAGGACGCCACAGCACCAACAGACGCTGTTGAGGACAGAACAAATTGACAAAAGACAAACAGAATAATATTGAAAACCAATAATAAAGCAGAAAAACTGTAAGCGGGTTGTGTTGGTGCTCTTACTTGTCTGAAAGAGCCCTCTGTGAAGTAGATCTTGCTGACAGCCCAGATGGGTATTGTGACCACAGAGGAGATGGCTATGGCCCAGCCCAGGTTGTAGGCCCAGTTTGGGTACACAGAGCCGTCGCTTGTTTTCAGAGGCTGGAAATCCAGAAAGAAGCCGATGAAGCAAACCTTGAAGGAAAAGCAGAGGAAAACAAATCATTGTTCTGTGGAATATTTTGACACAGTCTACCGACATTTAGGTAGGTATTCCTCCTTTTGAAACATACATCCCTGTTTTAACAAATTAGAGGTAGCCCAAATAGGCAGTACGATCCAAGGGGGCTAAGCTAGTCTGCCATACAACAGTGGTGATATATTGTCAAGATTTAGTTGTCATAGAGACATTTCTTATTATTATTATTCAAATATCTTTATTGATTTTCCACATATAACAAACAGCAGCGCTCAACAATCAAAAATGCAGCACACACAGAAAGTTTACAAAATATCAATTGACATCCAGAAGAGCTACAAAATATGCATATAGAAAATAAACATAAATTATTAAATTAAAAACGACATGGTTAAATAACCAAAAGTAAAACATAAATGAATAAAAAACAATGTGGGGTGGGGGGGTTTGGCTACGTTGTTTTAATGTTAGAGAATTTGTTCTCAAAGTAGGACAGAAATGGTTGCCAGACCTTATAGTACTTTGCGATAGAGCCCCGGGAAGTGTGCTTTAGCTGCTCAAGTTTAAGATGGGACATTACTTCCTCTACCCAGCGCTTATGAGACGGCGGTGCAGCCTTCTTCCAACTAAAGAGTATCAGACGTCTAGCAAGTAGGGTAGAGAATGCCACAGCCTCAGCCTGATCAGTTGTTATTCGTGTCTCCTGTGTGACCATGCCAAATAATGCAGTCAATGGGTTTGCATCCACAGCCGTGTTACACATGTACAAAAAGGTTTTAAATATACCAGTCCAAAAAGGGGCCAGTTTTGGACAGAGCCAAAACATGTGACTTAGGCTGGCCGGGTCCCGACTGCACCTGATGCAGGTTGGGTCTAAACCTGGGTAAAATGTGGCCAGTTTACTTGCAGATAGATGTAACCTATGCAAAACCTTAAATTGTAGCAGCCCATGTCTAATGCACATTGAGGATGAGTGGACAAATTGAATTGCTGCCTGCCAAATAGTATCTGATATAGTTATTCCCAGCTCTTCCTCCCATTGCCTCATTAAGTGATTAACCTGTTAAGCACTGAGCCTGTTTTTCAGGTCTCAGGCTCGAAAATGACATTCCCAGAACAAATGACCATATCTTCCCTTCTAAAAGGGTTACATTAATAATCTTTTTTCTCAAAGTAATGATAAACCTGTGAGTTGGATGTAGAAAAGTCAGAATCAATATAGATGTTTTTTATTTGAAAGAAAATTCAGATTCTACATAGTAAAAAACTGTAAATTATAGTGTCCGTCCAAAAATAATTTTTTACTTATAGTGAAAACTACCTTTGGATGATGGGTTAGTAGACTAAGCTTTAGGAACCCAAAGTACAACATATAATAAGTACCCTGTATCAAGATTGATGCAAAACAAGTGAAATTTGACCTTTTTAGACAGTTTTAGCCAAAAAAAAACACTTCTGGGGTCATTTGGGTGGATTTGACCTATCTCTGGCCCTCCTTGGTCGATTTTGATGAATGAAATCTCTTTATAACCGCTAGAGCCAATGGAATCAAGGGAAAGTTCTATACACACCAACACGTTAACAAATAAGGAGTGAGAGTGACGCGTGACCAAAACCGTGGCTACCATTAGCAGCTAACTTTTTCGCTCCGATTTTTACATAAAAATGGAATTATGGATTATAAATAATTTTGTCAAAGGCACAGATACATTATTAACCTATGGATCAACAGTTGTAGCCTTTTTTTTTTTTTTCGTTTTAATGCCATTGAACACGTCTTTTGATCAGATTGACAGCTACGGTGAGACGATCTCCCGTAAAAGCTCCGTAAAGGTACGTGTTGTGATGTCTGTGTTAGCTTCCCCTGCCGCAAGTTCGGATCGCTCAGTGATGATACTATACCTATTATAATCTGTGGAGTCTCAGCTTAAATCGGATATATTGTATGTGCAGCTACGATAAGTAATAAGGGTATCTTTATCTTGAGTTGTGTGCTAAAGTGCGTTAGCATTTTTTCGCTTAGTGCTAATTCAGAGGCTTGGTATTACCCTTGTGTTTTGTTTTGGTAAAAATGGTTCATATCTTCAGTTAGCTGAGATTCTTCCCGTTAATCTGGTGCTACACATTAATAGTTTCATAAATGTTAAGAAGCCCTGAGACATTGTCTCGAAAAAAAAACGGTGGGAGGGGTCCAATGGGGGGAGCGTCGTCCTTAAGAGGTTATTAAGCGACGGAGCGGCGACCCTCTGAATATTTGAATATTGTCATATAATACAGACACCAGACCCCTGTCACAGGGATCCATATTTAAACAGTCATCAATCCAGGTACTCTGTGGGGCTGCTAGAGAGAAGTGGGTCCTGACATAACTACATATCTGCAAATATCTGAAGAAACATGACTGTGGGATATTGAAATCCTTCTTTAACTGTTCAAAAGAAATAAAGTGTCAATTTTTTAAAAGATCTTTAACACACCTAATCCCTCTCCCATGCCATAACCGAAAAGATGGATCAGTGAGAGATGGAGAAACATTTACATTTGCCAGAATTGGGGAAGCAATAAGTGCCTGTTTGTGTTTGAAATGAATTCTAAACTGAGTCCATATCTTTAGAGAGCCTTGGATGACTGGGTTATTCGTCCAGTAGTTTTTACTCAAGGGTAGTGGAGTGCAAAGTAAAGAGCAAAGTGACACTGGATTACTTGAATGCTGCTCCATTACAGACCAAACTGGGGATTCATCCGTCACATCAACCCAAAACATCAGCTTGTGGATGTTGGCAGCCCAATAGTAATACAAATAATTGGGTAAGGACAAACCACCCTCCCCCTTTGGCCTTTCCAAATACTCTTTCCTAATTCGAGGTACAGCTTTATTCCAAATAAAAGTGGAAGTGCATTTATTTAATTCCCTAAAGAAGGATTTAGGGATGAAGATTGGGATTGCCTGAAACAGAAATAAGAACCTGGGCATGATCGTCATTTTAACAGAATGAACCCTGCCAGCTAGTGACAGGGGGAGGGTCGACCATCTCTCCATGTCCAGTTTAGCCTTATTAAGCACTATTTTAAAAATGATTGTCCATCAGATCTTTGTATTTGTAAGTGACACAGACACCTAGGTATGTAAAGCTGTCCTTACACACAGAGAAAGGGAAGTTCTGAAATGACATTTGACGTGCTTTATCATTTATGGGGAATAGAACACTTTTACTCAGGTTCAATTTATAGCCCGACACCCGGCCAAACTCGGCGATAAGTTCCAAGGCAATAGGTATAGTAGCATGGGGATCCGAAAGAAAAAGAAGAAGATCATCCGCATAGAGCGACAATTTATGCAATTCTCCCCCCCTTTGCACTCCAATTAGACTAGCGGTCTCTCTTAACAGTATTGCCAGGGGCTCCATAGCAATATCGAATATCTGGGGGCTCAGTGGACAACCCTGTCGTGTCCCACGAAAAAGTGGGAAATAATGAGATATTATCCTATTAGTTCGAATTGAAGCTTTAGGCGCTGTATAAAGGATCTTGATCAGCCAACAAAAAGTAGGGCCGAAGCCGAACTTCTCGAGCGCAGTGAACAGGTAATTGTATTCAATCCTATCAAACGGCTTTTGTGCATCCAAGGATATAATAAGTTCTGGTTCGACATTGTTGGGCTGGTAGATAACATTGAACACACGGCGGAGGTTGCATGAAAGTTGTCTACCCACAATGAAACCAGTCTGATCTGGATGTATCAATTTAGGCATCATTTTCTCAAGCCTCCTTGCTAGGACCTTGGTTAGAATTTTATAGTCGCAACATAAAAGACTAATCGGGCGATATGATTCACACAACAACGGATCTTTATTCTTTTTGAGTAATAATGAGATAGAGGCCTGCGTCATAGTTGGGGGAAGAGCCTTCCTAACAAGGACCTCCTCGAATACCTATACTAATAGCGGCAGTAGTTTAGGAGCAAATTTCTTAAAAAATTCACTTGGATAACCATCAGGGCCTGGTGCTTTTCCAGGATTCATTTTTTTAATTGCGTTGTCAATCTCTGTTAAAGTTATATTTCTCTCCAGTCCAGATTTGTCTGATTCATCCAAGGAGGGCATTTCAATTTGACTAAAGAAGTCATCTACTAATTCCTTGCTACTTGCCCCCGAGGTGTACAGATTCTCATAGAAAGACTGAAACTGGGCATTAATGTTTTTTTGGTCTGTGACAATATTACCTTCCTAATCTTTTATTGCAGATATAAAACCTGCTGTTGCTGACTGTTTAAGTTGATGGCACAAAAGCTCCCCATGTTCGTAGAAATTAAAGCGTGATTTTAAGTGAAGATCTACTGCGTCCCCATTGGACAGAGAATCAAATTCTGTCTGAAGCGAAATTCTCTCCTTGTAAAGATTCTCCGAAGGAGATATTGAATGTAATCGGTCAATCACTTTAATCCTATCAATCAATTCTGTAGCTCGTTTGAATTTCCTTTTATTTTCACCAGCGTTATAAGATATCACTTGCCCCCTTACATATGCTTTCATGGTTTCCCATAGTGGGAAATAACTTATCTCTGGGGACTCATTGGTTTCGAGAAAGAAATCTATTTGTGTGTTTATAAAGTCAACAAAGTTTTTTTCCGCAAGCAGTCTAGGATTAAGGCGCCATACGCGTTGGCGGAGTATATTTTCCGGAAAACGGAGCTTCAAAAGTACTGGGCAATGGTCTGATATGACTATACTGTTGTTTTCCACCTGTGTAGTTATGGGAAATAGTTTTTGGTCTATTAAAAAACAATCAATTCTAGAGTAGGTTTGGTGTACTGAGGAGAAAAAAGAGAACTGTTTGGAAGTCGGGTATTTAAATCTCCAGGGGTCAATCACTCCGTAGGCTTGAAGAAATGTATTTATGCAGCTTGCTGATTTATTAAGTGTGGTGACCTTACTGCCAGAACGATCTAGTACAGAGTCTAGGACACAATTTAGGTTCCCCCCCTAATATTAATTCATGCGAGTCTAGGCCTGGCAACAGTGAGAAAAGATTCCTGAAGAAATCAACGTCATCCCAATTTGGGGCATACTCATTCGCAAGCACTACTGGCTTATTGAACAGTTTACCTTGAATAATTATGTAACGACCATTTTTGTCCCTTATGGATTTTGACTCTTCAAACTGCACATCTCTGTGCAGGAGAATAGATACCCCCCTGCTCTTGCTATTAAAATCGGAGTGGAAAACCTGTGTAAATCCTGCTCTTTGAAGCATTAGCTGGTCTTTATTTAATAAATGAGTTTCCTGTAAATATGCTATTTCAGTTTTTAATTTGTTTAGATGAGAAAACACCTTGCTTCGCTTAACCGGGTGATTCAATCCCCTTACATTCCAACTCACCACCGTGGTGTCTGCCTTGCCTATACCTTTATCTACAGATGCCATCGATATGGTCCTTCAATTTATGATACTGCATTGAGGAGTCCCTGAGCTTGGTAAAAGGGTTGTAGCCAAAAAACAAAAACAAACAAAAACAAAACAAAAAAGGGTGGGAAGGGGAGGATGAGCACTTGTACACATACATTTTCACAAACATAAAACACAATGACAACACGACAAACATTATGCTTGTCTCCCGTATGGAGACTGCTTGCACTTCCAGTAAACCTCTTCTCCTAAACTGCTTACCATGCGAGCCCCCCATGGGAACTGAACAATTAACTCAATATAGCTCCTTCTCTTCAGCTGACCAGGCAATGCTGAATATAGCGACATCCTAGTTTGAAATATCAGCAATGTAATGTAACAGCCCTGAACATGTTATGCTTCAATGAAATAAAACGTTAATGTCCCATATGGTTACACAATGATATTATTGTCCGTGGCGTGGCTTGCCTCAAATTTTTTCCCAGCAAGAACAATAAAGAAAAAATAAACGTTATCAAATGGGAAATCCTGAGAATTCTAGATAGGGAGAAAGAAAATATTTCCCAAACATAACCACATATATTGTCCGGCCGAGTTGTTTCTCGTCTCCATCTACAGCATATGGAGCTGGAATTTTAGCCCTTGGCCAATACTCACCAGAACATGTCCATTATGAAGCCTTGCGCACCACCTTGTTAAGAACTAACTCCTTTGCCAGTTTTGGATCGCTGAAACTTGCCCCGCGGCCCTCCGATGTTGTGATCATCAGTATGGCAGGGTATTTCAGGCCGTAGCGCACTCCCTCGCAGCCCCGCAGCAGCCCTCTCACCTCGGTAAAGGCTGCCCGCTGTTTACTCACCGCCTGAGTAAAGTCCGGCAGAAGCCGGATCTGGTCACCGTCGGGGGTCGTCACTGATTTCATCTCTATTGCTTTCTTTAGCAGCGATTCTTTTTCGGAGAAATAGTGGCATTTCACAATAAAAGCCCGCGGTGGGAGCCCGTCTTGTGTCGCTCTGCTGCGGAGAGCGCGGTGCGCCCGGTCCAGGGTCGGGGGCTTGTCGAGACCAAGGGAAACTTTTAGCATATCAGCCACAAACTGAGATAGGTGCTTCCCATGCTCCCGTCCTTCCTTCACTCCTATAATGCGGATATTACAGCGACGTGACCTTGCCTCCAAATCTTCGCAACGGTCCCTCAGTGTGGCCAGTTCTTTTTTCATACCAGTAACATCTGATGTAATGCAGGTGATTCGGCCCTCGGTTACTTCAATTATTTTGTTGACACTTCGTAATTCCGTCCGAATCTGGGTAGTCTGTATTTGGAGTTCCGCCGACTGGGCTATGGCCTTTTCTTCAATTTTCGCCACCAGGTCCTGTTTAAGAGACGCAATAGCGTTAAGTACCACGTGTTGGTCGTTGATGTCTGCGTCGTCTGCCAGGTTAGCATTAGCGCTAGCCTCCGCCACCGGCTCCAACTTGTTGTTTCCCTGCCGATATTTCGGCATATTTACTCAGCAATCGTCTGGCTATGGATATAACTTGTGTATCAAGTCGCTTGGAGTCAGTTCAAGTGGTTTTAACCTGTTAAGCCCTGAGCCTGTTTTTCAGGTCTCAGGCTCGAAAATGACATTCCCAGAACAAATGACCATATCTTCCCTTCTAAAAGGGTTAAATTAATAATCTTTTTTCTCAAAGTAATGATAAACCTGTGAGTTGGATGTAGAAAAGTCAGAATCAATATAGATGTTTTTTATTTTAAAGAAAATTCAGATTTTACATAGTAAAAAACTGTAAATTATAGTGTCCGTCCAAAAATTCTTTTTTACTTATAGTGAAAACCACCCTTGGATGATGGGTTAGTAGACTAAAAGCTTTAGGAATCCAAAGTACAACATATAATAAGTACCCTGTATCAAGATTGATGCAAAACAAGTGACATTTGACCTTTTTAGAGAGATTTAGCACAAAAAACCCACTTCTGGGGTAATTTGGGTGGATTTTCCATATCTCTGGCCCCCCTTGCTCGATTTTGATGGTTGACACCTCTTTCTGACTGTTAGAGCCAATAGAATTGAAGGGGGAGTCCCCCACACACACACGTTGTGAAGAGAAAAGGTGGGGGCTTCGCGCATGTAATTTTCAATCAGAGTGAACCTATCTCTAGCTTTAACATCTGGAAACGGAAAAGCAGTTTTAATGCTTATGGATTATCAGAAATCATTTCAAAGGGACACAGACACATTAGATGAACCTATGGATTAACTTCAGCAGCGTTTTTATCGTTTTAATGCCATTGAAGACCACTTTGGAGAAACTACAGAGCCAAGGTAAAAATGTTAGCATTTTTAGCTACCTAGCGTCACCTGTTTTGATGTCAGTTTTTGCTTATAACGTCGCAAATACGTATAATTCAGTGGTAATGTCGGTGTCAATAGATTCTGTGTCACCTCACGATGTGAAAAGATAAATAATAAGGTTTTGTGAGTGATTTTCGGTGCAGTAAGGTGTTAGCATTTTTCGCTCGTTGCTAATTCAGAGGCTCAGTGTTAGCATTGTGGGTTTTCTTTTAAAAAAAAAAAAAAAAGATCAGTTAGATGAGTTTCTTCCCGTTACATGGATATAAAACATTCATAGTTTTATTAAATGAACATGCCCTCAGACACTGTTTCCTGCAAGATGTTGCGGCAGTGCCCTGGTACCGGGGTCTCTCGGGCTTAACAGGTTAAAAGAGCAATATTCTGACATTAGTCGTTCTCATGAGGAGCTCAACAAAACTCCGTCTCTACATGGCGCTGCCCTCACCGGAAGTCTCATAGAAACATTTCTAAAAGCGCTGAGAGTGTTTATTTGGGCCTACAATTGTGTGTGCTAGTCGTGCATGCAGCCTGTTGCAGTTGCTCCTCCTAGACTCTTAATAATTTCAACTTTTCACTTTCTTATTCAATTAAATCTAGTTGACACTTGATATACACAGAGCCTGGATAGACTCTCCCCACCTTCCTAAAATTCACTATAGTTGTATTCATCACAGGTATGCATTCTACTTTCTTTCAGACTTGTGTGTAACTCACAGTGCAGATCAGAGGGGTGACGTAACGCCAGCACACAGTGTAGAAGACCCCCGGCCTCTGTCCCGTCTTGTCTTCAAGTGCATCACATATCCTCTCAGCCCCTGCATTATTAAAACTGTTTGTTAGTAACATTTTAAAAGGACAGGACCTCCTGCTGTAAAATAACGATGTACGTCACACCAATGGATTGGCATTTAACAACTTATTGGAACACAAACATTTTTTATGAAGCCCTAAAACTAACATGAGACAATTTAAGGCTAATAGACCAAATAAAAAAATGATTGTATGGACACATAACTACAACTGGCAAAGGCAGATTTATCTAAAAAATGATCTACTATATCAGGGGTGAGGAACCTCCGGCCTCCGGGTCGTATACGGACCGCGAGCCCATTTGGTACGGCCCTCAAGGTAATTTATGAACACACGCAAAAAAGAAAGAAATTAAAGAAATCTAGACCGCAAAATAATTAAACAAGCGAGTGCCTGTTTTTCCCGGCCAAGGTCAGGGTTCTTGAACACAACACGAGCCTAACGTGTCATCACGTGGTATATGTCTCGTCTGACAGGGGTGCAGTTCTGACGGAGAGCACCAGAATGCAGCTCCGGCACTTCAGAAATTGCAGTACCCATAAGGAGCCGTACACATGCCGCAGTTTTTGCGTGGCTGTGTCTTTAGTTGAAAGCCCAGTGGCGATCTGTTCATCTGTCATACTGATCAGACAGTCAATAACTTTGTTGTTATTAGCATCTGGTTAGCTAGCTATGCTAACGAATATAAGAAGCTTTTTCTACAACCAGTGAGGTAAAGGCACATCTTTATATGATCATTATAGTTGTAAAGAAATAAGAGAATAAAGTAAACAGGTATAAAATACTATATGACAGTAAAAAAAGTTGTTATTAATAAACAATAATACAGTTTAAAAGGAGAGTGATTTGTAAAATATCCATAAAGAAAAAGAAAATCTGCTTACAGGTCTGTTTCATATGGATGTTGAGAGATGTATCCATAGATCTCCTAATGTTGCTCTCAAAGTGCACCAGATTGATGCTTTTAACTTCAACATTTTAAAAAAATCTTCCCGGGGGAGCATGCCCCCGGGACCCCCCTAGAGGAGGTTAGGTCCCCCCTGACTTAAATCATGTTCACATGGATAGGAAACTAAATACATTTGCACACATCTTGTGTCCATATCTTTCTGTTTTGGTGGTCATGCCACAACCGTGCACGTGCATGCATACACGAGTCATGTTAAGATATCTGGATTAACCTGTTAAGCACCAAGCCTGTTTTTCATGTTTCAGGCTCGAAAATGACATGCCCAAAACAAATGACTACAACTCAACTTCTAAAAGGGTTATATGAATAATTTCTTTTATCAAAGCAAGGTTACATCTGTGAGTTGGATGTAGAAGTGTCAGAATCAATATAGATTTTTCTCAGTCAGAATAAATTCAGATGGAACATGGTAAAAAAAGGTAAATTCTTACCTCCGCCTAAAAAAAAAACATTACTTATGCGGCTTTCACACCAGCGCTTTTCCCTTTCTAGCTCCTAGCGAGAGCTTTTCTGGTTCAGCTCCGGTTTCCCTTTTCAGCTCCCGCTCTGTTCACACTGCCCAGAGCTGCCGCTGCTGCGTCATGACGTCACAGTTTACGTCGCTGATTTTCTCCCACAACAACAACGGGCCGGGGACTGCGTCGGGTCGATGATCGTGTTGCTTTTAATCATACGAAGCCAGATTAAATTAAATAACGACTTCTCCAACCTTATACTTTTCTCCAGAGTGCCGTGGTTCATTGTTTATTAATGTGTTTCAGCGGCATTTACCGACCGCTGCAGTGCTGGCTGCACTTCCACGGGAGTTTATTCTCCCGTTAGCTCCGGGTTAGCTCACACGGCTCTAAAGTATTCACTGTCTGACTGTCACACAAGCAGCTGATACATATCCCCAGTTCCCCTTAAGTGAATGTGTGTCAGTCTGAATTGACGCTGTTTGGCATCACAACGCTGTTATGAAAGTTTCTCTGGTATAACATGGGTGATGTTAGCATAGCAACCGAAGCTAAACTGACTACTTGCTAAGCCGTTTTCTACAGGCACATTTTACCGGCGTATTTTTCATTATGATTCTACTTGTGATAGTCGGACATGACAACCTGTACAGCCCATGTATCTCCACAATGATCAATAACAGCGAACGGATGGTCAAAGTAAGGTTTCCTGCACGCCTCGACGTAAGAGACGTAAGCGACGCCGCGTCATAGCTCCGAAGCTCTTGCCTCTGGACCGACAATTTTTTGGAGCTGGAAGTGAACCGCATTCCGGAGCTATGACGCGCCGCCGCTGCGGTGTGAAAGGGGCATTATAGTGAAAACCACCCTTGAATTATGGGATGGTAGACTAAAAGCTTTAGAAATCCAAAGTACAACATATAATAAGTACCCTGTCTCGAGATTGATGCAAAACAAGTGACATTTGACCTTTTTAGCCAGGTTTAGAAAAAAAAACCCACCTCTGGGGTTGATTTGGGTGTAAATGGGTGTTTTTACAGTTTCTCTGGAACCCATTGGTCGATTTTGGTGATTGTAATCTCTTCCTGACCGTTAGAGCCAATAGAATCGAAGGTGGGTTTTCACATAGACACCAACATTAGCACAAAAAGGTGGGGGCTCTGCGCATGCAGGCTTGCATCAGAGTGAAGCGATCTCTCGCTCTGACATCTGGAAACGGAAAAGCAGTTTTATTGCTTATGAATTATCAGAAATCATTTCAAAGAGGACACAGACACATTGGATTAACCTATGGATTAACTGCAGCATCGTTTTTTATCGTTTTAATGCCATTGAAGACCAGTTTTGACCAGACAAAGACCAAGGTAAGCCATGTTAGCGTTTGTAGCTACCTAGCGCCAAATGTTTTGATGTACGTTTTCGTTTATAGAGTCGCGAGTTTGTATCACTGAGTGTTGAAGTGGGCACCCATTGATTCTGTGTCTCCAGACGATGCTAATCGATGGGTTGGCTGTGCATCTAGGATAAGTAATAAGGGAGTTATGAGTGAGTTTCGGTGCAGTGATAGGTTAGCATTTGTTCGCTCGTGGCTAATTCAGAGGCTGAGTGATAGCATTGTGGGGTTTTTTTGGAGAAAAAAAATTAAAAAGATCAGTTAGCTGAGTTTCTTCCCGTTACATGGATATAAAACATTCATAGTTTATTAAATATTAAGATTCCTTAGACGTTGTTTCCTGCAAATGACGCCTTTATCCGCCCGGTACCGGGGGGGCGGTGCATAAGAGGTTAAGAGGTTGCTTTTTCTTTGCACAGCACGAAAGAAAGGCAAAATTAATGGGCTGTGATTTTAGTATTTTTAAGCAGAGGTCAATAATTTGTACGGCCCTCGGAGGATGTTGAAAAAATTGAAATGGCCCTTGAGAGGAAAAAGGTTCCCCACCTCTGTCCTATATAAAGACATTTTCAGGTAGAGAAAAATCAAGTGTCAATGAGCAGCATGTGGTTTATGAAAGGATATGTGCTGGACTATTGGCGTGGGTAAGACACTGTTATCATCAATATGAACCAGCTGAGATTCCAGAAAAGTTTCTCTATCTGCCCTTTCGCATCTCCACATTACAGTTACACTACTTTAAGGGTGGTTCTACATATTGCCTCTGGATGTAAATTATAAGGTGTGTGAAATTAAGACCATTGTTTTTATGGTTAAGAGACAGAAAGGGTTCCTAAAAAGGTTTGGTACTTTTAACAAATGAAACGTTTTAGATATACTGTATAGCTGGATATTAAAATTGCATGTGGTTAACTAAAGCATAACTGAACCTTGGTACTTATAGCACTTACCGAAGGCCCAGCCAACAGCCACACACTGGACCAAAGACACAAATAGCACACATATCCCATTGGCACCATAGTAATCAATCAGCTCGAACTGGTATACTCCTCCCTGGGTGACACAGAAGAGGTAATGTCAATTAAATACTCATCCCATATGAGAACATGCTAAATGTTAGCCAATGTGTTTGGGAGGGGGAATGCCAGCCTGTTTAGTACCTGTGTGGTGAGAGTGATCTGTAACAGGAAGGTGAAAGAGCTGAAGACTACGAGGAGAATTTCTCTGCGCCAAGGTCTGCGCATCTGTCCAGGGAACATGTCAATCATTGATGATGTTAACGTTTCCAAACCTGCAAACTGACACAAACAAGCAGACAGAAAAGTAATGAGCCTAGCTGGGTTTTCACTATCATTCCATACATGGCTAGTTTCATTTCAACTAAAAGATGTAGGAAGTATGGGGCCTTATCTGAATGCTGGAGGTACAATCACCATTGAAGCCTAGGTGTTATGCATGGCATACTCTCAATGTTCTTACCAATGACACAAAGACAAGAAGTATTTTTGGGATAATGGGTCTTGCAAAATGTGGTCACTCCAAATCTAACTCTCCCACAGAAACCAGAAGAAAATTATGTCGCACAATGTCTGGTTCAAAGAATGTGTTACACATGGTGCCTGTCAAGTGAACTGGTGATCTATTGCTTTTGCTAAGAAAACTACAGGACACATGGACCATTTGCTCCAGTGAAGTTGCTGAAAAATGGCTTCCGATCTGGTACTCCCCTCCAACTTCCTCTGAATCTCTTGCGAGGACCAAATACCAGAGAGCTAGCTCGTGTCCTCCGCTGTCCACTGCTGTTGAAGTTTGCATTCATGATTTTGTCGTAGTGTATGCTGCTGAATAAAACGTGTGACTTTTTGTTGTTTTTCTATTTAGACCCGCCCGCCGCCGACATAAACTTGATGTATTCTGTAATTGGTTCTTGATCCTCAGTTTTTGGGTTCAAATAAGAACTATTTTCCAGGGCCGGCTGCTGTGGAAACGATAAGAATTGATTCGCAATCAGGCACTAGCTCCAAACTGGCCCTGGAACCGGTTCGGTGGGAAAGGGGTATCAGTGAGACTAATCTCAACGGAGAGCTGCAGGAGTGGCCCATATGAGAATAAGCTTCCCTCTGAAGCAACCTTCCTTGAGAAAACTTAATTAGTTAGACAATTGTGGTTGGATGATTTTGGATGAACACTAAGACTACTTTTAAACGACAAGCCTGATGGTGCGTTCACATCGGACGCATCGCTTTACTCGCAGAAGTTTGACCAAGGCTGTCAGTTGTGTCTAGTCGCGTCACTCCAACAAGACGCCCGGGTGAGGAGGCGGGGCATACAGAAATGAATAAAGCAGCGACTGTATTCACCATGCCACAGACATTCTGTGATTTGTACATTAATAACTTCTCTCCAGTTTCTGAACAGATATGAGGAGCTGTGAGCTCTGTGTGCTGTCACCCAGAGCCAAAGGCTGCTGTTTTGGTTTTCTGATTCAACGTCAGTGACGAGAGTCAGAGATTCTGAACGCTGATTGGCTTTTTGCGAGACAACATCACGCAAATTTGTCGCTCGAGTTGAAACATTTCAACTCTCGCCAATGACGCGCCATTGGCGCCATTCGCGCCACTGCAGTCTATCCGCGTCTTTGCATTGACTTTACATGTAATCGTGACACACGAAAAAATCGCATCGCGTTTTGTGTCAATGTACCTTTCGAGCTCAATTGTGATTCCTGCTCAGATCCATTTTTCTTTTTAGGCTTTGTTGTCTTCTTTTTCTTACCTTTCTGTTTATTTCTGTGTGAGTGCAGGAGGGTAACGGAACGGTATGTGTACTGGGACAGTTATTCTTCTAAAATAGATGGAGGGTTTCAGCCATATTTCAATATTTTTACGACGACCTCAGTCTTACAGTAGCGTGGCCTAGCAACAGCTAAAGCCTGGTACTGCATGCTATTTAGCTTAAGCTAGTTAGCAGCCAAATGCCTCCATTCTCTACAGATGACTTCCACAAACTTCTACAGAAGATGGCCGTGTTGGAAATGAAAATGCATCGGTTGGAAGTTAACGTGGAAGTGAATGGACTAGGTTTGAATGACACCACTTTACCAGTGTTGCAAAATAATGGACAAAGGCATGCTAACTCACAGCTAGTTAGCAGCTACAAGGATTCCAAGGAACAGGAGGGCTGTGTACCGGGTAATACATCTACAAGTGGTAGTCCTCCCTGGAACTCTCTGGGTGCAAAGCCTAAGAGTAAATCATTTCCATGGGATTTGGGAGGACGAATAACAGGCAGAGCCCAGCGCTCTGAAATCTGGCCTGTATTGTTATCACCGAGGAAGAGCGCCTCTTCAACCCCTATTCATACTAGGAAACAGCCGTGGACAGCTGCTAAAGGGAGAACTACAAACAATCTTCCTAAACCACCAAGTGTGCCAATCCAGAACAGATACGCTCCGCTGACCCAGAAACGGAGATCTCTTTCTGATGACCTGGATAACCTGTCCTCTTCACACAGCAGGGTAAGGACCAATAGCTACTCCAAAAGTAAAAGGCTAGAGGGAAAGCTAACGACTGGGCCTGAAACTCTGATTGTGGGTGATGTCTGTGTAGTAAGAACAACACCAAAGTACTCTGTTTTCCCAAGGATATGGTCTCTGACTTGGCTGAGAAGATCCTGCATATTGGGGCTGAACATCCGACTGTGAAACATTTGGTACTGCACATTGGAACAAATGATGTTGTGAAACAACAGTCAGAAGTGCTGAAAGAAGAATTTAAATGTCTGTTGGAAACTGTCAGATCTCTAAATGCGGAGGTGTTCATCAGTGGCCCTCTACCGCCAGTCAGAAGAGGAGTGGAGAGATTCAGCAGATTGTTTGCACTCACGTGACTTGCAACTGCCTGTACTGACCATTCTGTCCATTTTATTGACAATTGTAACTTTTTCTGGGACCGCAGACATCTTTTTAAGGCAGATGGAGTTTGTCTGAACAAGTCAGGAGTGAAATTGTTTATCTCGAACATATTCAACTGCCTGCGTCATCAATCTGTTCCCTCTGCCAAGGACAAGCAACAAGAGGAATCAAAACAAGAGAAAGACACAACACATCGCGCAGAAAACCTTGAAGAAGTATCACTGCACCGGCCTGAGGAATGTCTTGATTATGGGAGACCTATGACACAAATGGAGGAGTCTCCACCACCCCTCAACCCCCCTATCACCTTTGAGGATACTCTTCCTTCACCCCCCAGCTCTCTCTACTCTCCGTTCACCCTTTCACCCTCGCCCACCCTCCTGGAGTTCGACCACATGAAGGCGATACGCAGGATTGGCAGCATGTCCTTTACCCCCGCCCCTCAACGACGCCCACCACAATCACAGAAGCAGAGACGCGCACCATCTCCCCCGTCTTCATCACCGTGCCTACGTCAACCCCCCCCCCCTTCAAGACAGCATCTGCGGTCTCCGAAGCCTGATAAGAATGTGTGTGTACAAAACGCAGCAAAATCTAACTGATAAGTGCTGGGTCCAGGCTCAAGGGCGTATGGCACTCTCAACTCTTTCCAGGACAAGCCGGGGCCCTGCCTGCCAGTAGCTTTGCCGATATCTGTGTTGATAGGTAATAGATTGAGAGCATTGAATCAGCTTAGAAACAGGAAGCGCTCAAACGTTTGTGTGAGTTTATCAAATTTAGCAGTGATTCCATGTCAGCCACAGCTTGTCACAAAAAATCTGACTGATAGTGTATTTAACGAACTTAAACTAGCTTTATTAAATGTCAGGTCTTTGGCAGGAAAAACGTTTTTAATCAATGATTTTATCACTGAGCACAATCTCAATTTTATGTTTTTAACAGAAACTTGGATTGAACAAAATAACAGTGCAGCTGTTCTTATCAAATCAACACCTCCCAACTTCAGTTTTATAAGTCAGGAAAGAATGCATAAGAAAGGAGGTGGAGTTGCTATTTTGTTCAATGATTCCCTTCAATGCAGAAAGACATCTTATGGGAACTTTGCTTCTTTTTAATATGTGGCCCTTCAGCTGAAATGCTCCTCTCGAGCTCTGTTCCTAATTATCTATAGACCACCCAAATACTGTGCAAGCTTTTTTGATGACTTTACTGAACTGCTGTCTATAGTGTGTATTGACTTTGACCGTCTAGTCATTGTTGGTGATTTTAACATCCATGTTGACAACCCCCAGGACAGAGGGGCTAAAGAACTGTTTTGTGTTCTTGATAAATATGGACTGACTCAGCATGTGACGGAGCCCACACACAATAAGGGACACACTCTGGACTTAATTATCTCAAAGGGTCTTAATATCTCTAATGTTGTGGTGACTGATGTTGCACTCTCTGATCATTCCTGTGTTTTCTTTGAGAGCTCTATTTCTGTTCACAAAAATGTTCAAAAAGAGGTAACCACAAAGCGATATTTAACTGAAAATACTAGGGAAATGATTACTCAGAATTTTTCTTCCACACTTGCCCCTGCTAACATCTCAGTAAATGAGATAGTAGATCATTTTAATTAAAGAAAATATCTCCATGGAGAAAGGCCATGACCGTGAGAACAGAAAAAAGAGAGTGTTGAAAAGCTGAACGCAGGTGGCGAAAAACAAATCTCTAGGTTCATTTTGAAATCTATAAAGAGAGACTTGGCTTTTATAATTTGCAATTGAAAAATGCACGACAGTCTTTCTTCTCTGACATCATTGCCAAAAACCAAAACAACGCACGTGCCTTGTTTGCTACCGTTGACAGACTAACAAACCCCCCAGTGTCAGTAGCCTCTGAATTTCTATCCACCAGGGCCTGCAATGAATTTGCCTCCTTCTTCACTGACAAAATTCAGAAAATTTGACAAGCAGTCAGTGCCTCTGTATCAGGTACAGCAAATGTTTTGTCCCTGTGTCCACTTCAAATCAATTCAAACACCATGACACAATTCCATCAGATTAATGATAAAAACCTAGAGGACATTATTCAACTTCTGAAATCCTCCTCCTGCTGCCTTGATATTATACCTGCAGGATTTTTCAAAAATGTTTTTCATTGCATGGCCTCAGATCTACTTCATATAGTAAACAAATCTCTTCACTCAGGTGTTTTTCCACAGTCCCTAAAAACGGCAGTCATTAAACCGCTCTTAAAAAATAATAATCTAGATGCTTCAGTAATGAACAATTACAGGCCCATATCAAACCTCCCATTTCTAGGTAAAATCATTTTACATCAGTTTTTCAACAGTTGAGTAATTTCTGGCATTTAAATAACTGTTGTGATGTGTTCCAGTCAGGCTTTCGTCCAAACCACAGCACTGAGACTGCTCTGGTAAAGGTCTTCAATGACATCCACTTAAACACAGACAGTGGCAGAACTTCAGTGTTAGTATTATTAGATCTCAGTGCTGCGTTTGACACTGTTGACCACAACATATTACTAGACCGACTGGAAAACTGGGTGGGACTTTCGGCAACAGTTCTAAATTGGTTTGAATCCTACTTAAAGGACAGAAACATCTTTGTTTCTATAGGTAAATACAAATCTGAGTTGACAAATATGACATGTGGGGTTCCTCAAGGCTCCATCTTGGGGCCTCTTCTCTTTAACATCTACGTGCTACCACTGGCTCAGATAATGAAAAAGTACAACATAAGTTACCATAGCTATGCGGATGACACCCACATTTACACAACCATTTCACCAGGAGATTATGCTCCAATTCAGACACTGAGTAAGTGCATTGAACAAATCAATGACTGGATGAACTTTCTCCAATTAAACAAAGATAAAACTGAGGTAATGGTTTTTGGAGCCAAGGCAGAACGTATAAAAGTTAGCGCTGAGCTTCAGTCTGCAATGTTCAAAACAACAGATAAAGCCAGAAATCTAGGTGTAGTCATGGACTCTGACCTGAGTTTCAACAGTCACATTAAAACAGTTACTAAATCAGCCTACTATCACCTAAAGAACATATCTGGATTAAAAGACTAATGTCACAGCAGGATTTGGAAAAACTTGTCCATGCTTTTATCTTTAGTAGACTGGACTACTGTAATGGTGTCTTCACAGGTCTCACTAAAAAATACATTAGAAAGCTGCAGCTGATTCAGAACGCCGCTGCTCGAGTCCTTACCAACACTAAGAAAGTGGATCACATCACTCCTGTTCTGAAGTCTTTACACTGGCTTCCTGTGTGTCAAAGAATAGATTTCAAAATACTGCTGCTGGTTTATAAAGCATTGAATGGTTTAGGCCCAAAATACATTTCTGACCTCCTGCTAAATTATGAACCATCCAGAACTCTCAGGTCCTCTGAGACTGGTCAGCTTTCTGTCCCCAGAGTCAGAACTAAACATGGTAAAGCAGCATTCAGTTATTATGCTCCAAATATCTGGAACAAACTACCAGAAACCTGCAGGTCCGCTGCAACTCTTACTACTTTTAAATCCAGGCTGAAGACTTTTCTTTTTGCCGCTGCTTTTAATTGATATATTCATATCTTAAACTGCACTGTAACTTTTATTATCTTTGCTTTTTATCTTTGCTTTTACATTAGTGTTTTTAAATGTCATTTTATATTTTATAATATGTTTCTTGATGCTCTTAATGTCTTTCATTTTTGTAAAGCACTTTGAATTGCCTTGCCTTGCCTTGCCTCGCCTCGCCTCATTATTTTTGGAAAGTGGAGTTTGATGGCAATCCATCCAACGTTTTTAAAGGTATTTTAGTGTATATTAAAGTGGTCGACTGACTGACCGACTACATTGCCATCATATTATATTAATATTAAATTCTCCAATATTAAATTCTCCAATGTATTTACATGTGTGTTCACTGATACAGTATAAACAGTTGCAGCATATCTTAAAGTGGACCTATCATGCTATATTTAAATGATATATTGTAGGGCCATACCTATATAAGGTATATTTATACGTTTCTGTTTTCAAAATACCAAACAGATCATGCATTTTAGCCATGCCTCATTTCGCTCTATGTGCTGTTTGCTGTCTACGGGTCTGATTCTGCTGACCCCGCCCCCCTGCAGGAGAGGTGAGCCGTGCTCTGATCAGCTGCTGGGCTGTCAGAAGAGGGGGAGAAAAATAGATCTCCGTCCTCTGTGTTTTATTATATCGAGTCGTTATTCATTTGTTTTAAAGCTCAATAAATAACAAAGAAGACCTTTGACCGGCATTTTTCTAATTTTGTCCGGAAGATTTCAACTTTAACGGACATCTTGACCGGCGAAAGAAACTGTAACTGAAACTCTGCCGCACGGTCCCCTCGTTCCTTGGAAGAGGCGGAGAGGTGGGTGTTTGTCATCTGCTGGTGGACTAACCGGAGAGAAATACAGTGCTTGCGCAAGCGTTTGCAGCGGGAGCAACGCTTGCCTCGGGGAGGGAGAAAAAAAAGCCACAGCGGAGAATAAACAGAAAGACCTTTGACCGGCACTTTTCTAATTTTGTCCGGAAGATTTCAACTTTAACGGACATCTTGACCGGCGAAACAAACTGAAACTGAAACTCTGCCGCACGGTCCCCTCGTTCCTTGGCAGAGGCGGAGAGGTGGGTGTTTGTCATCTGCTGGTGGACTAACCGGAGAGAATTACAGTGCTTGCCTCGACGGGGAGGGATTGCATTGCAGCGGGAGCAAACGCTTGCCTGCTTTTGTGGCAGACTACAGCGCCACTTACAGGCCTGGCATATGTACTACAGCATCTCCAGCGCTTTCGAGCGGCAATGGCCGGCCATGGCCCAACCCCACATTCCCCTGATAGGTGGAGAGTTGGCCCAATAGCCGTAGCGCCACCGTCCTGACGTCAGGACAGTGTTCAAATCTGGATCAGTTTTTATCAGATCCGTTGCAGCCCCTTTTTTAGAGATTTGGGTATCGAGGAAAATAGAGAGGGTTGTGTTTTCTGACACTTGGTGAGTTCCCTGGAACACCGGGGACACATATTCATGTATAAAAGACGTACAAAAGTGCATTTTGCATGATAGGTCCCCTTTAAATTAATCCTACGTGAAGGACACCAACCGTTTGTGGTGTATCTTACCACAGTGTCCAGTCCCAACAGAATGAGCATAATGAAGAAGCAGGCGGCCCACAGCTGAGGCACGGGCATCATGGCAACAGCCTGAGGAAAAGCGATGAATGCTAGCCCCGGGCCTGCGAGGACAGAAGAGACATTTTAATTGTTGTGAGGGCACTTTTGATTCTGAGAGAGATGGTAGAGATGGTAACTTTGCAAAATCGTACCTGATGTGACGACCTTTTCGATGGGAATGCCCTGTTTTTCGGCCATGAATCCGAGACATGAGAAGACTGCAAACCCGGAAACTAAGCTGGTGCAACTATTGAGCACACATAACCACACACTGTCCCTGCATACACAAACACAAAGCTCAGCATGCAGAGCAGAACTGAGTGGGAAAATGTACTGACAGTAATAGACTTTATGTTGTTGGGCGGACAATCCGTCCTTAGGTAGTTTTGACGTTCTTATTGCCCCTAGATGTATCTATATATGTAGTTCTAGTTTTCATCTTTGAGATTTATAAATGAAAGCAAAGCTACACTTCATCCGCTATTTCTTAGTATTGTTTGAATGCAGTCATACATTATTATATAACCCAGTACGTGGCAGATACTCAAAGAAAATAAAAACCCAATTAACAAAAGCTCCCAATATATTAATGGAGCTACTGATCACATGACTTACCTGTAACAGTTGTTTGTGACTTTGTTGTAGCTGCTCAATGTGATATGGGTTCCTGATGCGACACCATAGGAGAAGAGGACCTGGGCACAAGCCTCCATCCACACCTCATGAAGAAAGATTGAAAAAACACGTATTTAGGTCATCAGCGTTATATCAGTCACAGGAGGATCTTGTTTCATCTACCTTCTTTTGTGTATTCAATTCAGGTAGGTGTGAAACTGTGCAGGGTCTACCTGAAGGTCCGCCAGGCGAGAAGGATCTGGATACAGGTAGTAGACCACACCCTGCCAGGCCCCCGGCAGCGTCAACCCCCTGACCAGCAAGATGGCCAGCATCACATAGGGGAACACAGCCGTGAAATACACCACCTGAGATGAATAAAAAAAATCCTCTACGTTTATTATGTCACATGTTTGTAGAGGTCTACTTAATATGTTATACTGCACATGAACAATACAACAACATGAACAATGGTAGGAAGCTCATTTGAATTAAGAGGAATCAATTGTACAGCTGCCAGGAGATGCACATCCTGCACCTGCAGAAAGGTTGTAACGGGTAAAAAATACATTTATATAAATCCAAGGGCACAAAAACAGATAGAAAAAATTCATGTCATTGGAGTTCATGTCTAATATTTTAGAGGAGAGTGGACAATGTCTTTAATCCCAATCAAACTTGGAATGTGTACGTTTTCTTTGCAAAACTACAGATGGCATTGTTAGGAAAATATCACTCGTCACCGGCTTGAGCTTCAATAATCAGGATACATGTATTTATTATCCTTGCAAGAATGGAAGTAGTCATCACATCAATCAATTAATAAATCAATCAATCAATGTTTATTTATATAGCCCAATATCACAAATGTTACATTTGTCTCAGTGGACTTCACAGTTTGTACAGAATATCAGTATGACAATACGACACCCTCTGTCCTTAGACCCTCACATCGTACAAGGAAAAACCTCCAGAGAAAAACCCCACAGTTTAAAGGAGAACATGGGAGAAACCTCAGGGAGAGCAACAGAGGAGGGATCCCTCTCCCAGGACAGACAGACGTGCAATAGATGCCGTGTGTAAATCGAAGAGATAATACATTTTACAGCATAGGTAGACCAAATGTTTGGAAATGCATGTGTCTATAATAAGAAGATGAATCCACGAGGATGTCAACAATCCTGTGGGAGCCATCAGGAAAGTAGTATGATGAGAGTCAGGCAGGACCACAGTGACAGGTTCAGCCACGACTCGAAGTCCAGGACTCAGGATAGAGGATCCAGGACACATGATTCAGGATCCAGGACACATGATTCAGGGTCCAGGACACAGGACCGCAGCAACAGGATCAGCCACGACTCAGGATCCCGGCGTAGATAGACACCAAAAAGAAATTTGGGGGAAGCTGGGTTATTCGGAACATGAGAGTACACAGGTACAGACAGACAGAAGGAAGAAGTAAGGTGTCCCCCGACAGTCTAAGCCTATAGCAGCAAAACTAACGTGTCTATGTACATGGACTCCCTTAGGATAGGTTGAGGGAAAAGGGTAGCAAGTAAGAAGTAAGGAACAGAGGTGGAGAGGCACAACGTGTCTACGTACATGCACTTCCTTAGGATAGGGTGAGGGAAAAGAGTAGGAACTAAGATGTATGCGCCACATCTATACCATGAGCGCATTGCTCCTAAAAAGTTATTTTGGCACTGACACCAATCAACAGTTGTGCGTCGACTCGGCAGGGATCAAGGCACGTATATGCCTCTCCCTGCTTCCACCGTCTACACCAGGGGTGTCAAACTCAAATACACAGTGGGCCAAAATTCAAAAATCGGTACTAGTTGAGGGCCGGACTGGTTCAATGTTTATTGCATAACTTATTGAAATGAACTTATTGCACATATTAAACCTGGAACTAACAAAGCTTAAATTGTTGCCTATAAAAACAACATTAAACATTAAATAATCAGTTGCATTCATTTCTTATGGCTCTATCTGCAGATTTTCCGGAGTCATTTCTTATGATTACATTTTCCCACAGACCAACAACAGCTTCAAAAAAACCATTTCCCTCAAAGGAAAACCAAACATGCCCTGTTGTTTGCAAAAAGAAAAGTGCAGAACGAAACATCCATTAAACTCAGTTTGCTGCTCTGTGATGCTAGTTCAAGCCAGATACTTGGCATCTCATCTTGGGTGCAAGTTCATCAATGTTTGGGCTCAGGCTCTGAGCTGAGGAAATCCTCAGGATGGAGTGAAGGTGTGCGTGCAATATATCGGCGGGCCAGATCTAATAGTAATGGCGCGTTTCCACTACACGGCCTCGCTCGGCCCCGCTCGGTATGGCTGGGCCTCGTTAGGACTGGCTCACTTTATGGCGCATTTCCATTACAGTTTAGGAACTGGGGTAGTATCTATAGTAACGCAGTGTAGGCGGAGCCGTGACGTGATCTTCAGAGACCCCCAGAAAAACAACACAGCCGTTAGCTGTTAGCACTCAGAGCTCACAGCTCCTCATATATGTTCAGAAACTAGACAAAAGTTAAACAAGTACAAACCACAGACTGCCTGTGTCATGGTGAATACAGTCGCTGCTTTATTTATGTCTGTATAGGCCGTTGTTGTGAGTGTGGACGGTCGGAGCATATACTGCGTTAGCTTAGCCAATCTCCATTTAGAAAACAAGCATTTTAAAAGGTTTTTCCCCTGCCGTCTGTCTGCAGACTTGACAAAGCATTAATTCATGGTTTTTACTAACCGGTATCAGTATGTTGTTACTTCGGCATCATTTTGAAACGTGTATTACAATTAAATCACGGTCAAATATGTCCATCTTGTTGTAGTTGTAGCCCCCTTGCCAGCGATGCTCTCTCTAGTTTAGCATACTCAGCCCGACTCAGCCTCGTTGTCTCTGGCCCTAGACCCGCGATTTTATGAGGCCAGGAAAACTGTGAATTAGGACCCGCCGGCCGGTACTAGGCCAAGTGGAAACGCAACCAAAGACGGGCCGCTGACGTCACAGCCCTCTTAAACCGTGCTCCGCGCTGTAGTGGAAACGCGCCATAATTCAACATTATCCTGCGAAATTAAATCCACCAAGGGCCTTGAGTTTGACATGTGGTCTACACACACAACCAAATTACATCTATACCATGAGCGCATTGTTCCTAAAAAGTGTTTCTGGCACTGACACCAATCAACAGTTGTGCGTCGTCTCGGCAGGGATCAAGGCACGTATATGCCTCTCCCTGCTTCCACCGTCTACACACACCACCAAATTACATACCATCAGTAAGGAAAAAGAGTAAGAACTAAAATGCAGTGGCGGCCGGCCCATAGGGGCGCCACCCCCCCTCTTCCCACATTAAAAATAAAATAAATAAAAATAAATATTTTTAATTTTAATTTTTAATAAACAAGGTAAATATTATATAATTGGTATCAGTAAAATGTATAATCTACAATAAAATCTCGTTTAAAATTGTGTTACGATGTCTAAAGTTACTGATAAGTCACATGTTTCCTGCCTGGCCTTGCCCGTGTATCATTACCCTCTCTCGTCTGGGCGCTATGCACAGCGCCCAGACGAGAGTGCAGCAAGTGCAGCAGAAGCCAACTGTTGCTATCTTTAAACTATGCCGCCGAAACATAATTTCAGCCAATCAGCGTCGTCAAATCTGATGGTCACAGGGCGCCTACGTCAAGCGCCCGGTGCAGTCTGTGAGTTGTTTGGACTCGTATCCAAGGAGACAAAACAGGAAGCTGTCATACACTCTGGAATCAATAATTTTTTCAAAGTGACAGACACATTGGATTAACCTATGGATTAACCTTCAGCCGCGTTTTTCTCGTTTTTGATCAGAATAACAGCAAAAGGTGAGCATATCTCCGTGTTTTGCTACCTAAAGCTACGTCGTGTGATGTCTGTATTTGCTTCCCCTGTCACGAGTTCTGATTGCTTAGTGATGATACTTATATTTCTAGAATTATATATTCTATGAATGAATTCATAATTAAATCATTTTAAGTAATTTTGAGTGTTCCCAAAGCCCCGGTGTTCTGCAGTTTGTGTGGGCCTACTGTACTGTTGCACAGTTTATGCTGTAGAAACTATGTCCAGGACAAGGTGTTTGGAAGTTTTGGAAGATTCATAGCCAGCCACATTTTACCACTGCTAAAATGTATAGGTGAAGAGGCACAACGTGTCTACGTCAATGCACTCTTATTAGATTATTTTATCAACTATAAGCTTTATCAAAAAGGAAGGTCTTAAGCGTACTCTTAAAAACGGATAGGCTGTCCGCCGCCCGAACACAAACTGGAAGCTGATTCCACAAAAGTGGAGCTTGATAAGAAAAGGCTCTGGCTCCCATTGTACTTTTAGAGACTCTAGGAACAACCAACAACAATGCATTCTTGGAACGCAATGCCCTAGTACAGGGGTGGGGAACCTTTTTCCTCTCAAGGGCCATTTACATTTTTCAACATCCTCCGAGGGCCGTACAAATTATTGACCTCTGCTTAAAAATACTAAAATCACAGCCCATTCATTTGGCCTTTCTTTCATGTTGTGCAAAGAAAAAGCAACCTCTTAATCCAGATATCTTACCATGACTCGCGTATGCATGCACGTGCACGGTTGTGGCATGACCCCCAAAACAGAAAGATATGGACACAAGATGTGTGCAAATGTATTTAGTTTCTTATTCATGTGGACATGATTTAAGTGGGGGGGGACCTAACCTCCTCTAGGGGGGTCCGGGGGCATGCACCCCCGGGAAGATTTTTTTTTAAATGTTGAAGTTAAAAGCATCAATCTGGTGCACTTTGAGAGCAACATTAGGAGATCTATGGATACATCTCTCAACACCCATATGAAACAGACCTGTAAGCAGATTTTCTTTATGGATATTTTACAAATCACCTTTTAAACTGTAAAATTAATAATAACTTTTTTTTACTGTCATATAGTATTTTATACCTGTTTACTTTATTCTCTTGTTTTTTTATAACTATAATGATCATATAAAGATGTGCTTTTACCTCACTGGTTGGAGAAAAAGTTTCTTATATTCGTTAGCATAGCTAGCTAACCAGATGCTAATAACAACAAAGTTATTGACTGTATGATCAGTATGACAGATGAACAGATCGCCAGTGGGCTTACAACTAAGACACAGCCACGCAAAAACTGCGGCATGTGTACGGCTCCTTATGGGTACTGCAATTTGTAAAGTCCCGGCCCGGAGCGGCGTTCTGGTGCTCTCCTGCAGAACTGCACCCCTGTCAGACGGGACATAGACCACGTGATGACACGTTAGGCTCGTGTTGTGTTCAAGGACCCTGACCTAACCCAGGAAAAACAGGCACT